GATGAATCCCATCCCAGGAGGGACAGATCCTATCCCAGAGGGGACAGATCCCACCCCAGGGGGAAGTGGGATCTGAATCCCACCTCAGGGTGGCAGATCTGCATTTCCCCCTCCGTGCACAAGTCAGTGAAGCTGAGTACAGCTTTTCCCAGCTTCTCCACTGCCAGTTCTGGCTCCCCCCAGCTTTCCTCRCCCCACAACCTTCAAACCACCTCGCCCAGCTTCGCTGGTGAATCCCCCAGCACGTTTTACCCCTCAAACCCAGAGCCCCCCAGCCCCTCATCCGCAGCCCACCCAGCAGGAAAAGCCCAGAAAGCGAAGCACAAGCAGCCATAGAAATGACCATTAACGTGTTTTGCAGTTTTACCAGGCCGTCCGTCGTTCCGTGCTGCCCAATTCCTCGTCCGGGCCGTGCCTATCCCAGGACTTCTTTACTTTTCTGGGCTAAGCAAACACAGCCGGGTTACACATTAACCCCGCTGCCRCCGCAGATAAGGCTGAGCTGCCTGGTGGGTGCTCGGCAGGTAGGTCCTGACAGGGAGGAGCTCATCCTGCAGCCCTGCAAGGCACTTTCCTCCCTCTCCAGGAGCTCCAGGGGCCGGAGTGAGCCCCTAAAACCCGTCCATGCCGTGCCGCAGATTGCCGGGTGGCGCTGGCAGGGCTGGGTGTGAGCTGGCAGTGCCCGGGAGCAGCTCCAGCTCCGGTCCCACCCAACTCCCGCACTTCCCCGCTGTCCCTTGCTGTCCTCCCCGGCTCGGCTTGTCACCTCCTTAATCCGACATCCTGTTGTGCCGCATTGCTGAGAGCGGGGCAGCCCCGGCCCCAGCCCTGCACACAATAATTACGYGCCAGGAACGCGTCACCCACAGCAGGTTTCTTCTCTCAGGTGCTTTGCGCAGCCATCCCGTGGCTCGGGAGAGGAGCTGTTTCCTCCCCGGTTCTAAAAAAACGCAGCCCGGGCTGGGACAGGTCGGTGCTTGCGCTGCGCCGAGGTTTCCCAGAGGCCAAAAGTTTGCTGCCTGCGAAGGGAGGGGGTTGTAAGGACGGGTGGAAGGTGTTTWGGAAGGGAGGATTCGGCACAGATTTATTTATTTATTGTGTATTTGCGGGGTGCACGGCTCTGCGGGCTCCGTGGCTTCTCCGCCTGCCCCGACCCGCGGCTGCTTTTGCCCCACTTGGCTTCGTTCCCTGTGGGCACCAAACTCCTCTGCGAGCTCCTTCCCAGGGCTGGGGATTCCTTCATTCACAGTTCGAGRGCAATTCCGAGAGCTCTGGGCAAAGATAAAGCCCACCAAACACCCACCACACTCATCTGCACACTGACACCCTCCAGAAACCTCTGGGGCATTTCCCTGAGCAGATCCCCTTCCCCTTCCCAGATTCCCCCACCCTGCGGGGGGACACCGACCCCAGCCCGGGYGGGCAGGGAGAGAGCAGMAGGGCCCCCTTRTTGCTCTGATTTTGGGCTCTGTTAYTAAAATCGAGGATTTTCCTGCTGCTAAAAAACTGCTTTGGCCATTCTTCCCACCCCCCACACACGGCATGGACTTGTACCTGCTTGACAAGGTGCTGCTCACTGAAATTCTATAAACACCCTGCAGGAAATTTCCAGGGCTGACACAGCTGCTGGATTCATTCACATTTCTACGCTCCAATGATTTATTTATTTTTTTTTTTAATATTTGTATTTTTAGCAAAAGGCTGTGTTGCAACACATGTTCCCGGYTCCACAGAACAGGGAAGTGGAAATGAAAGGCACAGGAGGATGGAGGGGAAGCAGATGAGCTGGAAGTGCTGAGACTCCCRCTGGCAGTGCTGTTCTGAATGTGCTGGAGAGAAAATCAACAAACCAGAGGCAGCCCCAGCTCTTCCTGCTCCCCACGCTGGCCTGCAGCAGNCCCCCTCAATCTGGGTTCAAACCCCTGAATTTGGGTTCCAACCCCCAGAATTTGCCTTCCAAGCCCTGAATTTGGGTTCCAAGCCCTCAATTTAATTTCCAACCCCCTCAATTTGGGTTCCAACCCCCTCAATTTGGGTTCCAACCCCCTGAATTTTGGTTCCCAGCCCTGATCCCGTGCCAGGGCAGGGTCAGACTGGCACAGGGCACATTTATCCCCGCTCAGAGCTCTCTGCCCGTGGCGGGAGGCTGAACACCCACAGAAAGCGTCCTTATTTCGGGGTGCAAAGCTCCCAGAATTTCCTGGCACCACCTGTGCGTTTCCCTCACCTGCACCACCCCATTCCTGGGGATGGGATCGGGCTGAGGAGGCGAAAGGGAGCAGCAAAAACAAACACCAACACCCCTGGGTGACACAGGAGCCACGCGGGAGGATTTGCTCCTCGGCAGACAGAGGAGCCCTTTGTGCTGTGACCTGCAGGCAGGAACACTCTCTGCTACCCTTTTTTTTTATTTTTTTTTTTTTGCTTGTAGCAGGATCAGGGAATTAGATCCAGCGATAAATGAGCAGAACTGGCTGCTTGTTCGGAGCCTTAGACCCTGAAAGAATTCCTTTGTAATTGGAATACGCCGCAAAAATCAGATTTCAACACCCACGCCCTGACAGATCTAATCCTTCCACGCGGGAGGAGTTGAATATTTCAGTCTCAGCTTTGAATTATTTGCTGCTTAAATGACATTGCAGCGAGTGGTGGCTTTGGAACAGCAGTTCCCTGGATTGTTTGAGCTCGGATCATTTCATATCCAGGATTTGAGCTGTCAGGAAGCCGAGCTGAGCTTGGGGAAGTTTTAGGGCTCTGCAGGGTTTTACTGTGCACTTGAACATCCAAAACGTGAAATTTAGATTTATATCAAAACTAGATATTCAGATTT